AATTAAAACAACTGTAAGATGGGAGTCCCCGGAGTGTGTGTTCTCTTGGATTTACACCTTACTAAAATTGCTTTTATTGCAGCTTAGCGACTTAGCAACATTTTTCTGATAAGATAATGGGAAATGACTATGTGGGCACATTTACTGGTTAGGAGAGATTAGAGTCAAACAGAAATGGAACATACTTTTCATTTCAACAGAACAAAAGCTGGAAAACTGAGAGGATCTGCTTTTTCCTTACATGATTTAAAACAGTGATTGTCCTTTAAAAGGAATTCTGACCTGTGCAGGAATTTCTTATCAGCTCAAAATTCAATGTTTGAATATCAGCTACAAGCTACTTCGTGTTGCAGTTCCTCCTTTGAAAGTATTGTATCTAGAGAAGATGTGATTTGTTGCACACAGCAGCAAACTGCAGCTCAGCACCAGGACTGCTCCACAAGCAGGCACCTCAGGTGTCAGCAGGCACTGCTGTCCCAGCAAGCTGGGCACTGGCAAGGGTACAGGCAAGGCCTGGGGCAACGTACCTTTTCCTGCTCCTGGTATCAGGGTGGGGATGCACAGGGACTGTGCAGCCTCACTCACCCGGCCCTGGGCACGGCAGGAGCACCACCAAACTCACTTGCAGGCCACTGCCTCCTGAGGTTCTGGTGCTTGCTCTGTGTTCTGCTCTTGTATCAACTCAGTTGGAAACACCCCAGTTGCTCCCGTGGCCATCGCTGCCCAAAGTGCTTCTCATCTCCAGCTGGAATACCTCACTGTAACTGCGTGTTCTCTGTGACAGGTCCGGATTGAAGATGATATTGCGGTGACAGCCAGCGGGATGGAGTTGCTGACGTGCGTCCCACGTACTGTGGAAGAAATAGAGGCTTTCATGGCAGAAGGCCAAGGCAGTGCCAAGTCATTTGGCTCCTTGTCCAGCCAAAAGGAGTAAGCTTCAGGGTGATGCTGAATGTCCCACGCTGATCAGTCTTCGTTCTGATTTAATACTGCAGCATATAAAATAACATGCATCCAATTCTTCATAGTGAGAAGAGGGCAGGCTATTAGCTGGATTGATTCATTAATTAAAAATGAAGGTAGAAGGCTTCAGCACTGGATATCCATATACCTCCAACGTCGCTGCTTTGCAGGCAGCAGTTGACGTTACAAGTGCCACCCGAATAACCTTGCTACAGCAATGATTTCTTCCAGTTAAATCTGAATTTTGATGATAGAGACTCTTTTAAATACAGGTGATCTGAATGCTGCCAGCAGTTCTAACAACCTAAGTCGTTTATTAAGCTTTATCACAAGTATTGCAAAAAAGAGAAAAAAATCAGCTCTTCTCAGTGGACACAATGACACTTATATTTTTCTTATGGATCTTATATCAGTGACAATGGAGTAAGCAGAATGAAATTTGTATTAAAATTCGTCCTTGGCATCATTTTTGTTTACAACTTGTGTTCATTAGATTCTCCTGCTGCCATTTCTGCTTCTTTACCTGACCTTTCTGCCAATTTGTGCTCTGGAAACATTGACTCTTCGTTAGCCTGACTTCTGCTCTGGTTACAGGGTACACTGATCCTGCACACAGCCTGGTGCTTATTAAATTTGTTCATCTGTTTGTTCCTTAAAATTGTAGATTGCTGTGGTGTTTAGAAGCCTTAAGACCTGCAAGAAGGAAATGTCTTCGTTCCAGGGCTCCGGGTCAGTCAGAGCTGTGCTCTGCCAAACGATCGAGTTGCTTCAAACCATCTGTTGTTAGCAGCTTCAGAATTAAATCATGTAAATTTTATATGGATAGACCACAAACATATTAACAATGATCACAAAATGACTTTCCATTCAAGCAAGATTTAAATTACCTAGAGAATCCTTTCTTTTACTGTAGGTGAAGCCTGCGGGAGAACAAATGCTCTACTTGCATCATAAAATAGTCCTGGGTGCTCTGACTACATAAAAGTAGTGTTGTTTACTGAACACGTCATGTTTACGTCTGTTGCCGATGAACACATCAAAAGCACAGTGTTGTGGCCTTATGCCCCTTGGCTCTGACCGGCTGGAGGTCTGAAGTTCTTTCAGAAATGGTGAATGTGTTGCTCTTTCTACTGACTGCACTGAGCTGTGTGACACAGACCCGCTCTTCCTTTCTAGCTGCTTGGTGACCCGTTGCCAAATAGGGAACTTCACGTGGTGAAGACCAAGGAATTGCACTGTGAAATAATCCAGGGGCTTCACTCCTTCTGTTCAATGTCACTTTGCTGAATAATGAACCTATGTGCATTTTTTTTAAAGGTTGCTGTCCACAGTCTACAAGAGGTGAATGCAGGAGGTGTTGAGATGGGAAGGGATGCGAAGGGGCAGATGCAAGGTCAGTAGCTGTGGTGTGCAGCAGTGCTCTTGCTGAGCTTCATGGTGCAAAAGCTCCTGCTCCTCAATACACAGTGTGTGCAGAGGTGCCATACTGTGTGTTGGCAGCTGTGCAGGTGCCAAACACCACAACCTGCAGGCACGTTCCAGACTCATCTGTCTCTGAACCCTGCAAGGTTTTCCAGCACTGGGCTGTGCCCGCAGCCTCAGCCCACTGCCCTCTGAGTCCAAGCGCAGCTGAAGCATGCTCTGCATGCACCCAGACCACTCGCTGCTCTGGGCACTGAAACCTGCAGTCGCTTTGGTTCAATAGCAGTTACTGTGTTACAGTAACACTTCACAGATTAAAAAAAAAAAAAAAAAGAGTTTTGGAATTGCTTCAACTAAGCTGTAATCCTAGCGCAGTTAATAGGCCTTTCCCTGCTATGATTAATGCTGGCACACGGCGGCGGTGCTCCTGCAGAACAGGTCTGGCTCTGGGTGCTGTGCAGGCAGGCTGTGCCCCAGCACGCAGTGTGCGGGGGGAGCGCTGCCCCGCTGTGCTGCTGTGGGTTCTGCGGGGCCAGGAGCGCTGCCCTCCACAGCCAGGGACTGAACTCAACCACTGCGGGTTGTACCCTTCCTTCCAGTGCTCTATTTTGCAGTTCTGGATAATTTCTACCCACTTATGTAAAAAGCAAGTTAGTTTTGTTTTGTTTTGTCTTTTTCATTAGCATCAGGGAGGGGAGTAAGTCTTTTAAAATGGCAGAATGGTATTTAATATGCTTTAAATGTGTGCTTTGGGGAGGGAATACAGGTTGTGACAAACTTTCCTTATGACTAAATTAGTATTTCTTAGGCTGTTAGCTGTATTTTCCCAAATGCCTTTCTTTCCCCTCGGTGCAAACAGACTCAGATAGAGCCGCACCAAAATAACAGGAGTGCCCAGTGTTGAGCAAGCTTACATGTTTAAAAAGGTCCAAGTTCTGAATTGATAGTTTTAAACCTTCAGCGCCCCGGGCTGGATGCATGTGGGGTGTATCTCTGTGCAGTGACACTGCTGCAGCTACACGTGTGGTGAGTGGGGCAGAGCCTCCTGCTGCTCGGGGAAGTCGGAGTAAGAGAGTTCTTTCGTTGTAAGAAAGTGGGAATAACGTTTCATGGTGAAATGTATGGTGCTTTTTCTTGTGGCAGGCTCTGTGTTCTGTGTCACAGACTATAGCTGCTATTAAAAAAAAAAATTGGACCAAAAGGAAAACTTTTACAGACCAATGCTGGATCTTTTTTGAGGAGGTGTTCATTCCAATTTTTCCTTAGGAAAAAGAGGGATATTCCAAGCTCACCGTGAGAGTTCTCTTGTGCAGAATGTGGGCAAAACCCCCCATGCCTCTGCTCCCTGGGGCCACGCTGCTCTTCTGGCAGGAGGCTCAGAATAAGTGGTTGCAAGGAGGGTGTGAAGCTAACTCACACTGAGGATAGATTGAAAATAACAACTTGTCAGTCGCACACAGTCTGCACGCAAACAAAGCAGCTGCTAAGCTGGAAAAGTCATTGTGCAAACAAGTAACTTGTAACTTTGTGGTTTTGTTTCATGCAAGAAGGAAGTGGCATTGGTGCTGTCAGGTGGAGAAGTGACCTGCTGGAGCACCAGGAGTTCCTGAGTCTCCATCAGACAGTTCTACTTGCTCTCAAGAGACTAAAGAAATCGTTCTCCTGGAGGCAGCCTGTGTACAGCAAGGTTGGAAAAACATCACAGATTTGGGGCCCCTCTTTGGATTATCAGTAGTGGAGCGCACACTGTGCTGTCAAACCATCAGCAGGGCAACAAGGCCACGTAGTTCCAACACAGAGTAAACAGAGGGAAGGGATGGGGCTCCTGCCAGAGCTGGCACCCATCTAAGAAATGTGATGCAGTCAGGTTGTCTTCATCCTTATACAAAACCCTTGTAGAAGGATTGTCCTCCGCCAGCCCCTCCCTCATTACCTTTTAATTGCAGTATACATTCAGGAAAGGATTCTTTTTTTTTTTTTTGGTGTGTGAGTGTGTGTGAGAGAGAGAGAGAAATGGGGAATTTAGTCCAAACTGTAATTAGTTTCTCATTCTCTTCCCACTAAATAGAAACTTAAGTGGAGGACAATAATCTGTTAAAGGACAAGAATAAGTTGAAGGAGGGAAGATTTAGGTTGGATATCAGGGAGAAGTTCTTTAGTATGAGAGTAGTGAGGTGCTGGAACAGGCTGCCCAGAGAGGTTGTGGAGGTGTTCAAGGCCAGGTTGGACAGGGCCCAGTGCAGCCTGGTCTAGTATTAGATATGGAGGTTGGGGCCCTGCCTACGGCGGGGGGGTTGGAGCTTAATGATCCTTGAGGTCCCTTCCAACCCTGGCAATTCTATGATTCCACAAATGGAACCTGCTGTACTGATTTCTCAGACAGCTGCTTGAGGTGGTCATCTCTGTATCTGAAGGAAACAGAAAATGGACAGGAAAAATAAGGCCAGCATTGGAGGCAAAATGTTTTTATTAGTTTCTGATATTTCAATCTTATCTAATTAAGCTGCAGCTAGAACCAAAAAAACATCTCTTTGTAAAAAGACTACCATAGTCCAAAACAATCCATAAAAAACTGCACCTAATTGCCTTTGTATTAAAAATTGAAATTCAGAAAGAACTTTTAAAGGCTTTATTTTCTAACAGCATCTTCATAGAGATAATATCCAAGGGTTTTTTCCTAAGTACAGGTACAAGGCAAACAAGCATCCTACAAAATATGGGAAAAAGGTAGTGTAGGAGGGAAATTAAGACAGTGTAATAATCCACTAGCCAGACACACAGGTTAAATGTAACACAACCATACCATCAACGAAATACTTAAAAATGAAAATAAATTAAGGTTATGCCAAAGTTCCTGCTTTACTTTTGCTGTTAAAATCCTCAATATATAGTACATACCACTGCATTATGGATCATGGCAAAAACTTATCACTAGTATTTAAAAAACTGCTATAGAAAAATTTCTATGGAAATAAGACTGAAGATACTCCTTCACACAACTGTGATGGCTATAGAAATTCTGCCGAATCAGGTGTTCAAACGAGGGCAATTAGTTTTAAAATCACTGTGCATTTCTGTACAGGCTTGGCTGCAAATCTGAATGGCTGTGAGAATGGAAATGAACATAAGTGAGCTAAGATCCACACATTCTTGCTGTTCAGATGCTGCCCTACCCCTTTTGTTGCTCAGCCAAGCTGTGTATTTTGTTCTCCCTGATACCCGCACCCCAGCAGGAATGCAGTTTTGCAGAGCATAGGTTGTTGGTAGCATTTTTACATTTTCTGGAAACCAAAATCTTGTTCACCTAACGCCCCACGGTCACTGTGCAAGCCAAGTAAACATGAACACAGGCATAAAAGGCCTTGTGCTGCTTGGTTCAGACCACCACTTGCCCTGTGGAAGTGCCTGTAAAGATCACTAAAGAATGTTGCTGTTTTTTTAGAACACGTCTTGAAGTACCCCAGCTTGCTATTACTGTGCCCTGCCCATTAACTGTAAGCAGATTGGAAAAACCTAAGTGGTGCTTTGCAGGAATTGCTCTGTAGGTAGAAAAGCAGTTCACCAAACAGGACAACAAACTCTCTACGGCCTTTGCAGTTTGTAATATGTAATGGAGAAAAGAAAGGGCTTAAATGCACTAAAAGGTATTTAAAGGAATTCACCCAATTATGACTTTCTGATACTACAGTGAACCATCTTGATGAATTTCTCCCGTTATGCTAAATGTGAGAAGGTAAGTACATCTGTGAAATGCTATTTCTGTAATAGTAAGCTCCTTGCTGACTAAGGATTTAGATCTGCACTTATTAGACAAATCTTCTAGAAGAGAAAAATATTTAACGCCTTTGAAGAAATACCCTAAGCAGTTTCTGGTTTAACTGTATCAAATCTTCAGTGCTAAACCTAAAAAGATCCACACACAATGATGGTTAAAAGAACCCCTCATTTGCTCAGTTACTGCATGGGTGGTGCGGACAGGCTGCACCTCCAGAGTTCATCCCGTCGGGCTGTGGCAGTGACTACTGCCCACTGTTTTCTGGATTTGTTGTGGTGCTTTCAGTGCCAACAGGTTGCACATTGTCTGCGAGACTGTGTGCATGCTCAAGGAATAAGTCTTTCAGTACGCTCAGCTCCTTGGTCAGGAGCTTAATTTTCGCCTCTAAACGTTCATTTTCTTCTTTGAGCTGGGTGACCCTTTGCAGCGTGTCTTGTGCTTTCTGTTTGCTTTTTAACCGGCTCTTTTTCACTGCCATGTTGTTTCGCTCTCTGCGCTGACGATACTCATCGCTGTTTCTATCCACAAAGGAATTTTTCTTTCCCTGCTTGCTGGGAGGCACAGCTTTGCCTCCACCACCAGGACTAACGGGAACCAGCTGGGGAACCTGCTGCAAACCACTGCTGTGCGCCTGGGTGTGAATCACGCTTACTCCGTTCGCATCTGTAGCGGTGTTCTGCGGGGATGTCTTGCTCATTTGGACGGGCTCTTCTTTGACACAACAGAATATTAGAAGATTGAAAACTCTTTTCTAGATCGTGTTTCCAGCAGGTCTTCACATGGGTTAAGAGCAAGGTGAACCCTGAAGGAAAAACAAATGCTGTTAAACGTGCTATGTTCGGCTACAGTCTTACACATCAGTGCCTTTGGCAAAAGGTACTGATGGCACATCTGGCAGCAACACACCAAAACTATGCTGGAAGAGGAAAAGCTGCCAACTGCTGGGACATTTCAGAAGCCTCTCGAACATATTTGGATTGGAAGGGACTGTTACTGGGTCATCCAGTCAAACTGTTTGCATTGTTCACTGGATTTACTCAGTTATTCCAAAGCCATCCCTGATGGATGGGTGTCTAGCCTAGCCTTGAAAAATCTCGTTTCACAACCTCTGTCTTGGCAACTAGTTCCACTGTCTAACTTTTCTCCCAGTTATATAATTTTCTTAATTTTCAGACTGAATTCTTTCTTCTGCAGCTTAAACCCATTAACAGCCTGACTCTTGACCAACAGGAGTACTTGATCCTTGTCCTCTCCAAACCATCCTTCTGGGTGTATGCACATTCCTTGGTGGTCTCTGCTTTGTTCTAGAGACAGACCACCTTCCCTTGAACATCTCACATCTTCCAGTGCTTTCACCAGCTGTAAGATTGTTTTATTTGTTTTTGAAGATGGATCCCAAACTGATGGTTGTTTTAAGGTCTCAGCAGTACTCAGTGCAAAAATGTACAAGAAGAGGTGGTGCGTGCTATGAAGGCTGTGACTGAATGGCACAAAAGGAAACCCTCAGCCACAAACAAGGTAAGACCAGCCAAGCCTTTAACACTGCTTTGAGAGCAGGTGGGACAGGAAAGAAGGGTGAGAGCAATGTGAGAATCACTGCACTTGAAAGACAGGGGACTGTAGCCACCTACAAGGAGACATGGGCCACAGCTGACCTGCCCACAGCACACTTTCCTCTGCTGTGGCTCTCACAGCACTCACTGTCCATGCTGCTCCCCAGCAGGCTGCAGGCAGACAGCCTAAGGCACAGACATCCTCTCACCTGGGGCTCAGCCTGCTCTCAACCTTGCTGGTGGTACAAGACACCACTGCTGCTACACCCCCAGGAGGACCCATTTGGAAAGAGCAGCCGAGGTCAGCAGAACACAAGGTGAGCTGCGCAGTGCCCAGCCCAGCCTTACATCTGACAGCACAGGAGGCTGCAGCCCTGTGTGGCAATGCTCAGCAATATTCAGGTGCTTCTCAGCTACATGCTGCTCCTGTATATGTTTTCCACCACAGCTTGAGTGCCATTTTACATTCTGCTGGGTTATCATTAATGAGATTAAAATGTTACTGTCAATTGCACATTTTCTTTCGCAATCTGAGGAAGCCTGAACTGGATGCAGCTGTACAGTATGGCTCAGTAAGACACACAGCAGAGCCCGGTTGTTTGGCTTCAGTGTTATTCAGAATTAACATTCTGTTGCCAAGAACTCTTTTCCCTTAAAGCAAGTGAAAGAGGTGTGTGAGTTGTGTGAGTATAACCACAACCCTCAAGAAATTTTCATATTTCATATTTTCATATTTCAGGACAGAAAGATGTCAGGGCAGACATCGGACAGCATAGCCTTCAGTCCCCTCCCTTTCAGCATGGCAGTGCTCTCCTGGGCAGCCCAGCTAGGTCAGCACTGGAGAAATGCTGCATCTACCAGCCGTGTTGTGTCCACTGCAGAACAACAGGCAGAACTGCCCTGAAAGCATCGCGCCCCACCAACATCTGACAAGTTCCTTCACAGCACCAGGTTCCTCTTGCTCTTCTCTCTATGCTATCAAAACTATTTAATATTGTTCTAACATATGCATAAGATCTCTATCCAATGCCCCTGCAATTCAAAGGAAAAAATGATGTGTTCCATTAAACTGAAATGTAATGGGATAGTTCTCAGTGAAGGAGAACGTGGGTTGAGCAGAGAAACAGAACCCAAGTGTCACATCTCCCAGGTTGCTGTTAGTCCTGATGCACAGAGCACTTTGCAACAGGTCTCCCCCAGTTCCTGGAGCTGTCCCATGCTGTGTCAACTGTTTCTTCAATGGGAAATGCTCTCATCCGGCACTCATGTGGGAGATGCGACACACGGCTCCTGTCCTGCTCCAACACTGTACTGTAGGGCTGTACTGTACTTCTGTACATCCAGGCATCCAGGGATGTGCCGCACTTTCAGCTCCGTCCCCTCGGACGGAGTACTGTAGGGGTACTTCAGGGGCTGCCACCAGGAGGTTTGAGGGTATGGGATACTCAGAAGGGGCTGTGGCAAAGCACCGTGCACCTGGGGAAGGCTGTGAGCAGATGGCTGCCAGGGCTCACTGCTCAGGTGCGTGCCACACTGACACGTTAGCATGACACGACAGGCAGCAGCTCCCTGGCATCCCGTTCCCACGCAGCTTTTAGCCGGCACGGGGCAGCGCCGGGCTGGTTCTGCTCAGCACTGCTGCTGCTCCAGTGGCCGGAGCTGCCCTGTTCCATTGCAGCCGCCGGCTGCCACCCACCACCACCCAGCGCACACAATAGCGGCACTCGGAGCTCTGCTGGCCGCAGCTCCCCGGGGATTTGGAGTCCCAGGCACGTCAGGCCCTTCATTAGCTTTGCTATCTCCCCCAAATTTGAAACTTCCAAACGTTTCCCTTGGCAAAAAAAGGGGAAAAAAAGTTTTAATCTGTTAAATAAATCTGGTTGGTTCGTTGCTCCACAACTCGCCGTGGGCTGCACGGCTGCTCCGTCACTGCCACAGCCGGCAGCGGGACGCCGCTGGCCTTCCCTCGGAGCGCCAGCAGCCACGCGCTCGGGACCGCCGCGTAACGCCTGAACCGCGCTGCCACGAGCCCGGCCAGCGCCGCGGGGACGCGGAGCATCCGCGGCTGCAGCCGCCGCTTCTAAAGGCGAACCGACTCCTCAACTGCGAACTTTTCGGATCTCGACGCGTTCGGCACTCGGCCCCGGGGCGCCGCGACGGCCGCGTTCCGTCGGGGCCCCGCAGCTCCCGGCGCAGCGGCGCGGGGCCGGCCCTCCGCGTTGACATCAGCGCCGCCGCCCCGCCCGCTCCCCCCTCCCCCCCCACCCCTCCCGCCTCGGCGCCCGCCGCCCCGGGGCGGCTCCCGGCCCTCCCCCGCCGCCCCGCGGGGCTCGCAGCCCGGGGGCCGCCCGGCCGCGCTCCTCCCCCGCCCGCGCGGGGCGCCCGGCCGCGCCAAGCCGTGACTTCACCGGGGGGGAGGAGAGGCGCGGGCCGGGGCCGCCCGCCGATTGCATCATGCGCTCCCACGCGCGGGGCCGCCGCGCCACCGGCGGACGGGCGCGCGGCGGGGGCGGCCCCTACGGCCCGGCACGGCGCCCCCCGCGCGGCGGCGCTTACCTGTGGCGGCGCGGGCGGCGGCGGAGGGGAGGGGCGCGGCCGGGCCCGAGCCTCCTCGTTCACGCGCGGAGCGCGGCCGAGCGGCGATTGCGAAACCCGCCCCGCGCCGCCCCGCCCCGCACGCCGATCGCCGCCCGCCCTCCCGCCGGGGTGATGCAACGCCCGCCCTGATTGGCAGTCCCCGCGGCCAATCGCGCGCCCTCGCACTTAAAGGGCGCGGCCGCGTTCGTGCGGGGACTTTGCGGGCCGTGGGCGGTGTGCGGCGGCTCGGGCGCCGCCTCGGTGCGGAGGGCGCCGCCTCTGTGCGGCTCTGCCCCGCCCCGCCGCTGGGGGGCGCTCGCGCGGCCCGGCCCCGGGCGCCATTTTCTCGCCGAGGCCTCCGGGGCGGGCGGCGCCGCCTTCCCGCGTACCTCGAGCCGAGGGGACGGAGCTGAAAGTGCGGCACATCTCTGGATGCCTGAGATTACGTTTGTTTGCAAATATCGCAAAAAGATGAAAGCTGTGAGCGGGCCGTCGGTGCTTTCCTGCTGCCTGGCTCACGCCCCGGGCTCTGAGGGCAGCGCGCATCTCCCCCACTGTGCCCTGTGGAAAATGAGCCCCGTTTGCAGAACAGTTCTGAGGGTTGATGTGGGCAATCAGCCTTACACTGCTCACTGCCGTTGGGTGCTGCTTCCTTGTCAGTCTCTGGTGTTTAATATCTCACGTGTTTTTCCCAGTTGAAACGGTTCTGTTTTCTCTGGCAATGATTCATCCGCCTGTAACTAGAGCAAAAATTCCAGGTAAGCGTTTAGCATTATCCTGTCCTTAAGTAGTTCCCTGTGTGCTCTTCAAGTGCTCCCATGGCGTTTCACAGTGCTTTACTGCTATTTGTTCATTCTTCTTCTTCGAAGGAAGATGAAGAAAATAAAATACAGACAAACTCATCCTCATGTAGCCTGAGCGTTCTAAACGTTGAAGCCCAGGTGCAATTCTGTGCGCACTGGGAGCTCTGGTGCTTGGCTGGTGTCCTGTCCTGGTGCAGGAAGACTCACACAGTGTGCTTGCAGGAGTATCTGCAGGAGAAATCCCCCCAGTGCAAATGGGATGCGAGGGAAGCAGTCTAGAAAGTAATCACAAAAGCATAAGGAGTGCTGCTGTAAAGGCATGGTACTGAAATACACGTCTTAGCTGCTGGCCGTCACATTAGGTCACATGAGCCACGCGTTGGCTCTGGAGCTCAGTGTCAGGAGCAGGGCTGTAGCCCTCTGCACGCCAATTCCAGGTGTGTTCCTGCAGCAGCAGTCCACCTATAAGACTGTCTGATTTTGTGGTGGCATACTTTCACATGCATAGCTCAGTCTTGAAGGACTGGTCCCTAAAAAGTAACACCGCCAACAATAACAAAACCACAAGTTTTCAGCATCTTCAAGTAATACACAGTAAATCACAGCTCAAGACAGAAGGTCTACTGAAGAAACAGAAACTAACTGTGGGAACTGGAGGCAAAGATGTAGGGGGCAAAGGAACCTGTTGAGGTAAATGTTCCTGTTTGGTGCTTGGTCAGTATGTTCACTTAATGCTTACCAAAAAGATTTTCTGCAGCCTTAGCTCAGAGTGTGAAAACTGCTTTATTTCTCCATCTTATTTGTTGTCCCATTCCAGTGTTTATGGTTGTTACCTCTGTGTTCATGGACAGTTATGTCTTTGTCCTAAAATAAAAACCATATAAATGTACTGGACTATAGATTATTCTTCTTTTTTCTCCTGTAAGCATTCAGTTACCTGCGTTCCCTTCCCTCGTGGATAGCCTTCACTGGACTTTTTACTTCAAATTTGCACATTTCTATTAAATATCTACCTTTCACGCGTGGTTTGACTGTAGTTTTTTCCTCTATCGTGTCTTTAGAATTCTTGGTGAGAATTCTCTTTGTTGAGTTTTAGAAGAGAGGAAACTGTTTATACTTTTAAAATATATATGCATATAAAATGGTCCCTTGGACTATTTGTAAAGTGTGTCTGTGGGCAGGTGCACTAAATGGTATTGAAACTTTCTGTCCTGTCTGTACAGATCATCCAGAAGCTGAAGAGATGCAGGTCTGTAGTCCACCCCAGCCATTTAGTGTTCTGGTTTAATCATTCAAAGAGTGCTAAGCCATGACAGAAGAGTGAACAAACAGTTAAAAAGCTGCAATCTCTTGCTGCCTGTTTTGACATGGAAAAAAAGGAAAAGAGAAGTTTCTAACCTTGTCATTGTCGGTCTTCTGAGAAATTTTTTTCTTACTAACTCCTGCTCCCATTCTCACAGTTGTGAGAAACTGGACAGAAAGACTCTGGAATATGATCTGGAATATGAATTCTTTATGATCACAAAGCAGATGGCATTGCTTTTGGGAATATCCTAATAATACAAAGTCTGTAGTAGGAGTTTTTGCATTTGGAGTAGGAGTCTTGCATTTTCATGTTACAATGTTTGTTTTTTGCCTTCAGGACCGACCTCCATCAAGATGAAAATGCTACTGTTAGAAATGTCACACAGTCCAATTTGATAATTTAAATATCGTAGAAACTTGACTGTTAATAGTTGATTTGTCAAAGGTAGCCTTTTTGAGTAGGTGAAGAGAAGGGAGAGGAAGCACTGCTTAGTAGTGGTGATCACTATTTCAGGGCTGCACTGCTAATTCTAGCACTGACTCACTCTAGCCTTGGAAAGTTACAGTGCTTTTGTTCTAGAAAATACTAAGTAAAGAAAGCAGCCATTCCATTCTAATAGCAAACATTCATTTTATTGTAACGCTGCCTGGAGAGGAAGAATCCAGTGCTTTTGTTCTTTCTCTCTATGCTGCTAATAATTCTTACAAGAAAGTATTTCCAGTTGCTAGTTCAGTATCTTCCAACGCTGCTTCCTCTATGTCTAGTTATCAGAATACCAAGAATGCAATGACTGTTTTTAGGCTGCCACTAAACAATATTGTTTTTTACTTTCATGTTTATGCAGAATGTTAGAAAAAGCAAAGCTAAGTAGCTGACAGTGAGTAAAAACAAAGTAGAAAAATAAACTGAAAGGGAAATACTATGTATCATGTGTATGTGTACATATAAAATCTGGTTCCAAAGAGGCTTGTTAGAACTAAACAAGTCTGAGCGAGAATTAATGGCCCACACCTGGGAAAAAGAGGTGAATACTCAGGCATCCAGGTTTAGTAACTGCCACACCTGTCCTATATTCCCAAAAGCATAAATGAGTTCTGCAAGGATTTAGATAGCTTAGCTTTTGAATGCACAGTGCCATGGCTCTTTTCCAAGGCATCATCAGTCACCGCATGAAAATCCCCACCCTTAATTACCAGGGCATTATTTGTCATGGGGCATACTCTAATGAAGAACTTCACTTCATTTGTATGATATCAAGAAGAGTAAATAGTTTTGGGGATGACTTCTTCCCTGACTTTAAAATGGTTCTTTGCAACAGAACCATAAAGCAGCTTTCCAGAAAAATCACTAAAATGAGAGAGGCATAACACAGTGTTATCTTCAGTCCCATGGTATTGGGTAAAGGAGAACCAAACTTCTTTCTTATCCATGGTTTTATTATTCCTTGCAACCTATATGATCTCTGTGCCACAAAAAAACACAATGAGCAGCTGCTCGGAAAGAAAAAAAGAAACAGAGAGTTTGGCACCTGGACAGCAGAGAAGGGGTATGGCCCACCTGATTGTTCACCCTGTGCCACTTCTGTTCATTTAAATGAATAGACAGCTATTTATCTGTGCTTGTATCATAGAAACTATGCAAGAGGGGAAAAAAAAATGAGAAAGTGTACTGCCGAGTACAGAATGTCTGTCATTGAGCTGCTGCTACTAATATCTAGGAGAATTATGTGCTAGATTATCAGTGACAATGCTATTTTTGTCAGACAGGTCCAGCGTATCTCATATCCCCAGGAGAAAATAAAGGAAGTATGCAGTGTCATCATCCTTCCAGAAAGTCACTTCTCCCAGTTTGGTGAGTTAGCTGACAGAAAGGCTTTTTCTTTTCCTATATCTTAAAAAGGAGGCAAGTTCAACTGAAACAGTGAGGCACAGCTCCCTGCTCTTTGGCTGTGCATACTCCCTAACAAACCATAGACTCTTAGAGAAACAAAGCAATTACATTTACACGTGCAGGCACCTGGATATCTCTGTCACTCTGAATTTACCAGATACAATCCAGCATTTGGTTTCTATTGAATATAAACACTGCAGCCAAAATTGTAGAAAAATACCTCTTGGGTAACATGTCCCAGAACAACAATGTCATTAGAGAAGGGCTCTTCTGATTTCTCTCCTCTTGACTGTAAGTAGATCAGATTTCCTTCTGATAGGCAGAAGTTTTACATCCCTTCACCACTAGCCTGTCCATAAAGGTCTGGTTTCTGTACCTCATCAGCCGTGAAAACAAACTCAGCAAATCTTTGTATAGGAAATTGTTTCTGATCTGATTTGTTTAAACATCATGTGGGGTTTTCCTACGCAATTTTTTTGGTCAGAAGGACTTACACAGTTAAGATACGGATGGAAATTATTGGGAATCTTGCATGAGGAAAGAATTCGGGATCAACAGTATTGCAGTGATGTTGGTGATTCATAGGGGAATATCCTATGTGTGAAAAAAGTAGCATGCAAAGAGTAGTAGATGGAAACACAAAACACTTCATAATACATTGAACCATATCTTGCAGATGTCCAGTGGTGTGCGTGCACTGGCAGTTGAACCTTAAATGCCAATAGTTACTTGGCAGAGACTGAAGCTTACTTTCCTAAAGGATCCCTGAAGACTATTTCCAAATATGCCCAGTTAGTTGCTGAATGGATGCATCATAAGGAGGACTTTACCTAACTGTGCACAGTCACAGAATCACAGAATTGTAGGGACTGGAAGGGACCTCTAGAGGTCATTGAGTCCAACCCCCTGCAAAGCAGGCACCCTACAGCAGGCTGCACAGGTAGGCATCCAGGCGAGTCTTGAATATCTCCAGAAAAGGAGACTTCATAACTCCTCTGGACAGCCTGTTCCAGTGTTCTACCACCCTCGCCATGAAGAAAGTCACAGAAATCTTTACAGCTCAACAGAGAATATGGTAACA